ACATCCTAGGAAAATGTTCATTACTAGTTTGAGAAACAGTGTACAGCTGCACAAAAAACTTAAGGATTATACTTACACTACTGTACTCACTTGATTTAGAAACTTTATCACCAGTGACTAACAAAACATGAAAGAAAACTTATTTATTGTTTGTGGTGATGTTAAAAATGTATTACCGTAAAAAAAAAAAAAAGAAAAATTAAACTGATATGTTATTTAGTTGTCAGATTATTCTACTGAGTAATAACTTTAGCTACCACCATTTAAGGACTGAGGTTCCAGTACCGAGCACTACCTAAGAAGTAGCTGGTACCTCTTAAGCAAAAGCTTTTCATCGGATGATCTTGAGGTGCTATTTGATAATTATCTTGATCATCTTTCTTATATTACAGATTAAATACCCAGATGTACATAATAAAGGGAACTGAACTGTGACTAGGAAGCCCAGTGGCTGAACTAAGCAGGAAAAGATCTTGCATTCTCCTCTCATGCCTTATTCACCAAACTAAATTACTACCTGAATGTCATTCAGAAAGCCACTGTTTGCAGGGAACAAATGACTTGGTCTAATCAGGTGGATTTTCTGGTTGTTTCCTAAATTTGATTTCCAGAATATCTGCTCAGTCAGTGAAGTAGACAGTTTCTCTTTGTCACAATCATACCTCCACACTTTACAATGGAGCACATGAGAAGGAAAGCTGGAAAAACTGATAAATTACAAAAGCTGTAACCACTTGTAGCATCTCTTAATATACAGGAATGAAAGAACAAGGATATCATCAGCATTGAAAAGATAGCATCCCTTTCCTAAACAGAATTGCAAAATGATCTTCTAGTGAAGTTAGAGCGATACTCATCAAGAAACATATTTGTTCAATGCAGAAGATTAAAATGGATTCATTAGTGTAGGGATGAAAAGACTCACAGTAGTTAGCTGACAGAAAATTCACACTACCTTCTTTGATTTAATGGCAACAAGTACAAAGCATATATTTATTATTCTGACAGGTGTACTCTGGATAGTTCATGCTGGAACATGTTGAGAAAGTATCTGCACAGCATTTATTTAATTAGTGGCACAGACACTTGAACAACCTCGCAGCAGAACATACTTTTAATATTCTGACCGAATCTGGGCAATATTCACTAAGTTCTGATCGATTTTGATTTTGAAAAAAAGTCTTAGTAAAGTTCAGTTACATTACCAGTAAGCAAGGATAGGCATCTAACTTTCTCATCAACTGTGTTGATTAGCATATTTTATTATTTTCTATTTGAGGTAGATTTGCCCCAAATAAGTTTCAAGTCTACTTTCCTCTAAGAAACACTGAAAGCCATATAAGTGTTTTCCGTTCTAATAGCACCATTTTCTTCTTATTTCCATTGTTATCTTACTTATACTATTCCTCCTCCCTCCCCAGGGTTACTGTTTTAGTAGACTAACGGAGGAAAAATTGACACCTAATAACAATGCAATTTTTAAAGAGCATTCTTAGCATTTACTACTAGGGTGTAGCAATGCCCTGTATGTTACTCAACGCCTTGTGTTTTACTGGATATAAAAGATGACTGAACTGAATGACTTATCTTTCAGACGAAGAGAGAAAAGGAATTGAAGATTGGAAGGACAAGGAACATGGACCAGTTCACACTGAACCCCAGGTCTAGCGAACAGGGATTCTCATTGTCCCCACCATAAGGAATTACTGGTCACACAATTACAGGAACAGTTGGGAAATCACTAGGCAGTGGTAGGGATGTAAGAATGAATTTACTAAATGCCTATATAACTTGGGCAAAAATCTTAATACAAAAAGAAATCTCAACACTGGGTTATTAGAAATTGCTTTAATACATCTGTTCCAAATGAAAAATAACTTTATGCCAATGTTAAGAGCAAGAGAAGAAAACAAGGCCCTGATTACCTGTACTTCAAAGGCGTGGCTAAATGTATGCAATGTCCAGAAGAAAATTTTTCATAAGACACTAATAAAAGATATTTATGTGCAGCAGTAAAAAACTACTAGTATTTTGTATCCGTGAAAACAGGAGATTACTCTTTACAAAAGCTAATGAAATATCTATGCAATATACTTTATAAACAGCAGCCTAAGCTCCTGTTAGCATACACAGATACAATACAAACACAAACTGATGACTTAAGAACAAACTATCTTTCCAGTATTAAAACAGAGGCTGTTAATGTTATAGATTCTTCCTACTACCATCATGAAAGCTTGTAGACAAGAACCAAAATCCTTCTCCATTACACTCCTTTAGATGACTAGTCATTCCCTAGCACATCACATTTCTTCTTGCTCTTTTACATTGATATGGCAAATAAAAAATATGGTTGTGTACTCATCTTTAGCAGATATTGGTTCACATCCCAGTTTAACCTTTGAAACAGCAAAAGACAGTGAGCTATGCAAGTGATACCACTCAGTGCACTGGTAAGTGACAAAAAACATGAACTGTAATCCTTTATCCACCCCTAAAGGGCAGACCTGAAACTCCAAACGAGCTACTTTGCCTCCAGCTGCTGATAAAGGCATAATAGAAATATTTAGAAGAAGGCTGTTGAGAACTCAGAGACCCGGAGATTTCTGTTTACCCATAACTCAGTGTTCTCTGCAATGAGACTATTAATGAATCTCAGAAGGACTTAATGTGAATGCTGTAGCATAATGTTTGTTAAGCTTCCTATCACTGAAATAAAAATGAGGATATACTGAAAAACATTGGAAAAGCTGAAGATAAATTATTACAACATATATATATATAACCAGATGGGTTTAACACAAATGATTAACCTGTTCTCATCCTCAGTTTGATTTTTCTTACATTCTGTTCAGTTTCATTTACTTACAAAGTGCACAAGGCCACAATAAATAAATTGAGAAAAACTTGATGAGAAAAAGCAACTCACCCTAGAGTTATCAATGTACAAAGTTTATAAATTTCACACTGTGTGTGTAAGATACCCATATCTATAACAACATGTATTCATCTTCCTTTACCCATACCTCCCCTCCCTACAGATAAAAGTGCATTCAAAATCCTAGTCCAATGAGTCAGTTAAAAATACACATCTGAATCATACATATATTCTGAATACAACTTTAAAGCCAACAGGGATACTATTAATACATATAACTAAAGAAACAGCCTCAGCTAGCTGCTTTTATTAATCACCTTGTCTGTTCCAGTTAACTACAACTAATGCCACAAGGTTTCTCCTGCTGGTCTCCTTTATTTCTATGTTTGTTTCTTTTTAAAATGAAATACTTAGGAATACTAGCTACTACATTCCATCCCTTGTTTGAAATTTCTGGAGATTTCTCTTTTCTGTAAAAACATGTAACATAGTCCTTTAAACCTCAGGATTCTAAGAATGAAAAGAGGCAAAGTTACCTTTGTCCTACATACATCCAGTACTTACTTGTACAATTGCAAGCACAAAAATTTGGTCCTGAATTTCAGTATTAGTATTTGTTTCACAGTTCTGCTCAAGGGTACCATTTAAGTATCAGCATGCCATTTTGCTAAACTCTACAAAATCCAAGTCCTTGCCTCATAAAGCTTCCCGTAAGAATACAAGATGGAACAGGTAGGCAAAGCAAACCACTAACATTTGACAAAAAACAACAGGAAGGGTTAGAATAATTTATCAGAACAGTAAAGCTGTCAGAAAAGTTGCCTGAATATGTATGTGTACCTGCTCATGAAATAAAGCTTCTACTAATACTACTCTTACTGTTTCCAAACATTTCATGCCATCATCAGTCGAAGACTCCTTCCCCTGAACAGTATTGCTCTTACTTGACACGTGTCATTTGCCTATCGCTGCAGGACAGAGGCTTAGCCTTAGCCTTCCTCTTTCACGCAGGCTCTTATCTTTAGCCTACGGCCAAAAACAAGCCTTCACCCTTCCTCCTGCAGCAGAGAAGCGACGAGGGCCCCACAATAAAGGAAACTCAATCTACTGCTGAGCCGGGCCACATTTGCTCTGGCACCCACCCCAGGCACTACCGCCCGTTTTCTGCAGCGCTTCGGCCCGGCGCCCGGGAGGGCACGGAGCGGCCCCACAAACTGGGCAGCGGCCCCCCGGCTGCCATTTCGCACGCCGGCCCCCTTCCCCCGACCGAAGCCGCCCTCGGGCACCCAGAGACCCGCCTGCCACCGGTGCCTGCTTTCTCCTCCGCGCCCGCAGCTCAGGGCCCTCAGCCGGCGCCCCCGCTGCCCGCAGCCCGCCGGCGGGCTGCCCTCCAGCGGGGCTGAGAACAAGCCCTGGGACGGGCAGCGGCCCGGCCCGCGGCCGAGCGCAGGCGCCGCCAGCCCGGCCCCGGCGCCACGCAGGCCGGCCGGCCTCCCCGCATGCCGCGACACAGACAGGTGCAAGTCTCCGGCCGCCTCCGGGGCCTTGCGCAGCCCAGGTTCGACCCCAGCCTCCTCCTCCTCACACCAGCCCGCTCGGAAAAGCCGCCCCTTTCCCCCCGCGAACAATCGCTCACCCCCGGGCCGGCCCCCCACGGGCCAAGGGCTGCCCACCCCCCCCTCACACAGACAGGCCCTCCCGCCCGCCGGGCCTCGCAGGGAAACAGCGAAGCCGAACCGAGCCAGGCCAGGCCTCCTCCTCCCCCCACTGCCAGCTCCGGCATCCCGGGCCTCCCGCACGCCACGGGGCTGCTACCGCCTCCCCCCTGCAGCGCCCGGCCCGCGGCTCCCGCGCCCCACCTCACCTCTTTTGGGACGAGCTGGTTCTCCTCGCTGGGCACCATGGCCGGTGGCACAGCGCTGAGCCCACAGCAGGCTGATCCGAGCGTCGTCGTCAGCAGCGGGAGGAGGAGGGACGCCAGCGGCTCATGCTCCCCCTCCTCCGCCACCGCCCCGGCCGGCGCGGGCAGCGCCCCCGCCCCCGCCGCCAGTCAATGGGGAAAATGGCCGCCGGCGCCGCTCTCGCGAGAGCCGGCTCGGCCCTGCTGTGCTGCGATCGTTTTCGGCCCGGCCGCTGCTACCGGCTGTGCGCGGCGGTTGCTGGCGCGCTGCCCGCCTCGCACGGCGCCGCGCTGTCCCGGCCGAGGAGCGCGGTTACCGACTGAGTGCGAGGAGCGGTGTAGGAGGCGCAGCCCGGAACCCCCGCAGGCGGCCGGAGCAGAGCCGCGCCCCGTTCTCGGTGGCTGTAAATGGCGCTCGGCTGTCGCCACCGCCGTCATTACCCTCCCTCACAGAGCGGCGGCGGCGACACCGACACCTCGTCCGTGGGGAGGCCGGCACAGGCCTCAGGGCGCGGGGGCAAGGAGCCCGGCCGCTGCTACTCGTCTCTTTACCCCGTCTGCGGTAGTACGGGGCTTCTGGCCTTGTAGCAAGCGCAGGAAAGAGTAGCTAGTGATTAAAATTGAGTTGCGCTAGGTAAGTGAGAAGGTAGCGTGACCAGAAATCCTAGCCGGCAGGTGCGGGAGGAGGCTTGTAAAGACCTCCTGGGGGCGTGGGGGCTTTCAGCAGCTTATAAAAGCCGGGCTCGCCAGCTGGGTTGTGTGCGCGTTCAGGGTCTGGGCTTGTGTCCTCAGGTAATGCGAGGTGTGGGAGCCAGCCAGCCAGCATCCCCGCCATGAAGACCTGCCTTCCTTCACACACGTTTTCCCCTCTCTCACTTAGGAGGGGCCCTTGCCAGAACTAAGGGGCCCAGGGGATGTGGGGGCTGCCACTTCAGTTTGTTTCATTCTTCTAGGTGTTTTGTTTGTTTGTTTTTTTTTTTTTGTTTTTTTTATCATCACATTTGGATGTGGCTTACAGGCTGTGGGTTTAGGAGACCAGCAGAAGTAGAAAAGTAAGCATAGCCTCATCCCACAAATGTTTCTTGATTCCCTGAAGTTGTTCTTTGAAGGCATACTGTCAAGTTAAGCATGTGCTTACTGCTCTGTAAATTTTCGGGTTAATAATTCATTTTCAAATGAAATGCGTGGTTATTTCTGTGACATCACTTCATTGTTGATTTTTGTGTACAACAAGCTTAAATATATTTTTCATGCTACCTGAGGCACATTAAAAGCCAAATACTAATCACTAGAATTAATAAAATGCACATTAGTAGAAAAGTAATTATACGTTAATGTCTACTTCACTGGGAAATAGTTTTAAGTAAAAAACATTCTACTTACCTAGTGAAGAATGATACATGGTAGTTGTACATTTTTTTTTTTGTACGTTTCTCATTATTTTAGAGTCCTCTTGTGGAAAAATGCAGAATTGATACTTTTTGGTTTTGTGTCTACGAAACATTGTGTTTTGAGGTAATTTTTGAAACCCATTGTATTGAAGGTTACTGGAAATCTATTGTGAAGATTTAGTAAAATTAATCTCTTTTTTCCTGTTTATATAACTTTGCAGGTTCATCTTTATGACCCTGCTTTATGAAAGGTGAGATAAGTAGCACGTTTTAGAGTTGGAATATGTTATTAGTATAGTATTTTAACACTGTTAAAAAGGCTTCAAAGCAGTTATTTCTGTGAATAATCTTGCAAGTGTGCTATGGTAGGTGCTATGTTTCTTCCTTTATTTCTTTTTTTCATTTCTGCTCCTTGAACTAAGCACAGAAATCCCTTCATTGAAAACTTTCTCAAAGCAGTTTCTAAGTGTATTTCTGACTTGTTTTTCATTACATAACTTAATGGGATCAAGTTATTTATATAGTAAAGGTCAGAAGGTTTTCTGAGACAGGAGCTCTTGCCCTCTAGTTTTAAAATATGTTGGACCTGATAGCCCCTCGCCTTAGACATTTGAGCTCTAATACAATGAAAGCAAGCATCAAGGCAGGAACCTGGGAGTCCCTTGCTTTTAGTGATACTTCACGTTAAGCACAGGGTTGTGTACAGCTACCCCTCCAGAAGAGGGAAAAGTATGTAAAATAGTTGGGGTTTTTAATAAGACAGACAGTATGGAATTAATGAACTTGGATCTTTTTATAAAAGAAGGGGTTTTTATTAATGCTTATCAGCTGTGTTGTTGATTAAAAGGTTTGGTATTTAGTTGGTTGGTTTTTTTTTTTTTTTGAGGGGGACTTTGTTAAGCATCTCAGTGGGAGAAAAGGTATAATTGCAGAACAAATGAAGTGTCCACAGTTGTAGGTATGTGGTGTCCACAGTTGTAGATACTTGAATAAGCACAGCTGCCTGGTGATCTTCTGTTGTCCAGTGGTGTCCAAAGATCCATGAGATTATCAAACAAGTACTTGAGTTGAAGAGCCAGAACAGAGACATGAGATTGCAACAGAAGGTTATACAGTCATCAGAGCACTGGCTGGGAGCCTCCAACAGTGGTATGTGACTGATGAGCCTGGTGTTGCTTTTTTTCCCTCTTACCCTTCTTTGGGGACACCCCAAAACCTCTGGAACTTGGAGGATTCTTCCTCTATTTTATAAGGAACCCAGAATTCAGGAATGAGAAGCTTTCAGAGATGTTACTTTTGAAAGTTCTTTTGAATTTAGAAAGTAGTATATTGGGTTTTGTTCCGTTTTTTTTTTTTTTTTTTTTTTTTTGCTGTCATTTGTGCTTAAGAAGGGGCAAAGCTATTGGCCTCAATGACTTTAATTAAAAGATATTGTTCTATTGGAGTAAAGAGGTAGCTACCACAAATATGTGTTCACTAGATAATAATCAGGAGTTTGTTTTTTAAAGAAATACTGTTAGATCTTCCTGCCAACCTTCAAAACTGCGCAAACCTCTAATGTAGCATGTGTGCATGAAACATCTTTAATGGAGTAATAATCTCTAGTTAATAATTAAATCTCCAGGAGCTTTTGTAAATTGTGGATGCTACAGTATTTAATCTCTCTATGTGAGACTTTGTAAAGAAGAATATTCAGAATTTGAGTTTCATGAAGGGAATCCTAGCCTTATATAAAGACTGATATATCACAGTTTTAAGTTGTTACTAGTGGGAAGCAGAAAAATTGATATCTCAGATTAAAAATGCTGCTGGATTTGCAGTTACAGGTAAATTTCTTAGGCTGTTGATTGTCAAACTATTGTTCAGAGATACATTAATGAGTCACAAGTGCTGAAGTGTGTCAGTTTTCATTCAATTACAAGGTTAGTTTTAGATGATACAGTACTTATCACACTAATGTATGCATCATATTAATGGAAATGTAGTTATGCAACATCAGTATGTTAGAGTAAATAGCAGGCCTTCATTATAAGAGATGATGAACTTTTAAATTAGTCTGTGGGAACAGGATACCTCCCCCCTGGTCCCTGCAGCCTCTTTAAAGTTTATGCTTTAATCATTCCTCCTTCTCTGTAAGAATTCACTCGCTTCTGGCCCAACATCAGTATCCAAGATCTGATGAATAGTACAAAAAGTTTAAAAATTTAAATGGAGGGAGTGTTACCATCTACCTCTTTCATATGCACAGTTACATGCTAAGAACTCTAGGGGTGCAAAATCGTAAGAAACCCAGTAAATGTCAGAATACAGACACATGTTGTCTTTCCCAAAGTAATATTTTTCCTACCTGTTTGAAGTTAAAAGCCTATGTAAAGAGGAGTGTAGACTAATACCACTGATTTGGGATGTCTTCTCTGAAACACCTCAGTTTTGATTTTTGACATAGGCTGTTGGTGGGAGATCCATTTCCTGTTTCAGAAGTTGGTGGCTGTATTTGTAGAGCCAGCACTGCAGTGCTTATTTTCCTCTCTATTATTCTGTTAAAAACCAAGCAAGCAAAAAAACCCCCACCCAAACCCGAAAAGCCCTCCTAAAACAAAAGCGCCAAACCTGAAGTTTGCAACCCTTGGCAAGCTGCTGATAAATTATCAAAATGACATAGCCATTCTGTATTTTGCAGCAGTAGAAATGTAGCCAATGCTGATGCAGGTTTCTTGCAGAGCTCTTCTGCATTGTCAGCACTTTAAGGAAAACCAGCTGAAGGCCTCTCCCCTTTTCAGTCTTTGGCAAGTCCATGTCTACTGATAGAAGAAGAGATGTGTGAAAGTTCAGGATATCACAATCCAGCAGTTCATTGCACTGCTGGTTACTTTGCCATTTGAGCCTCAAGTAACTTTTCTGGAATTACACAGGAAGTTTTGAAGCATTTCTCTGAAAATCTGCATCCTACTGACTGCACCGTCTGGCCCTTTCAATAAGCGGGGGTGGAAATAACAGTAAATTTGGCCCTTATGGATGGACTGAAGGTAGGGTGAGGGGACAACAGGGAATAATTATTAGGAAGAACAAGTATAATTAGTACAAGGTCAAGAGAGGAAAATTATAGCATTCTGTATTTTTACAGGTGCTTTTTGCTAGAGTTCCGTTTCTTGGATCTTAGCTCCCTAAGTATGAAGCAGGCTAATAAAAGGCCAAGAAGCAAACTTTAAAAGGGACCACTGATTATTTTTAATTCTTCTGTAACTGTTCTTAGAAGGGGGGCTTTTATATTTTAGAATTTTGGACTGTTTCTTGAATGTGTTACTCTGGAATCAAGGTATTAATTTAAAGCTAGGAATCATTAAATAGTTTTCTGTGATCTGTATCTTAAAAAAAAAAGATATTATAGTTTTCCATGTCTGAAGAAGTATATGCAGGATTTTAGGAAATAAATCAATTTCTAAGAGTAGAGAATGGTGTGAGAAATTGAAGCTTTAAATGGGAAATTTACTGTGGAAAAAGTATTCTTTCACTTCAGAAAGACTGTTGTAGTAAGTCTTACAGATCTAGTAGGTAGGTAAGCAGCCCTCTGAAGTTAAACTTGGCAAGATTAAGAAAAAACCTCAGTTTAAAATTCAGTGCTAAACATTGTGTTCTGCTGTTCTTAAATAGTGTTTTCTACTAAAATCTGTATGAGCACACAAGTGCTTTTCTGTCCTTTGACATGGTAATTCATGCCAAGACCTTTTTATTCAAAACCAGTAGGGGATTATCTTAATTAATTATAAATCAGGGGCCAAGATTCATTGACATTTTCGTTAAAGATTATCTTTTTACTCTGGTTTCAAAACACCAAGTGTTCAGATATTAGGAACACTTAATGTTCCTAATGCTTAGGATGTTATTTTTCTTTTCCATTATAGCATTAATGTTATGTATGAGTTCCCAAAGGAGTTTGAGGCTGAAATTACAGTTGTAAAGAGAAATAGAAAAAGAAAACCTGCAGAGAGTTTTGCAGGACCATGGATTCCTTTATTAACACTGAATTCTTTTATCAGTTTGATTTATAATTGTCAACATTGTGTACTTAAAGCTACAGAGCAGTTTCTAACATGAGTATCTAAACAAAACACAGTGTTTGACCTCTTGATGCACTTGTTGAAACCTTCCTGGTGTCACTGGGAGTAGAACACATGCACTAGCAGGCTAACTTCCACTTTGTGTGATTAGAGTTGGAAACAGATGTAGGCTGGTATCATGCAGA